CGCGCGAGAGGAATTTCCCCACCGCGACGCCGATGCGTGTGCGGCGCAGTTGCTCGAACGGGACGTCCACACGCGCGAGCGGCGAGAGCGCGTCGAGCAGCTGTTCCTCCGCCGCCTCGCTAACGGTAACGACACCGCTGCCGCGCGTGCAGGCGGCGGCCAGCACCTCCAGCTGCTGGCGAATGCTGTCAAGCCTGTTGTCCGTGAGCGTCTGGCGGCCTTCGCGCAGCACACGCTCAAAGTACGCCGAGTCGTCCTCCTGGTGACTGGGCGCCCGCCGCGCCTCCTCCTCGTACTGATCGTCGAAGTCAAACGACACCTTTCGCCGCGACTTCTTCTCACCGCGCTTGCCCCGCTTGCCGCTGCTGATGCCGTTCTCGTCATCAGAGTCGTCGTCTAGACTCATGTCCTCGTCCTCATCCTCGTCGTTGTCGCCCTCGTCGCTGCCGCCGCGTTTTTTGTGACGGTGGCGCTCCGCAGGGGGCGACTCGCTGCGTTCCCGCCGCTTGTGCCTCTTCTTTTCTCGCTTATCGGTCTTCGTCTGCAGGTGGCGCTTTCCGGGGCGGCCCCCCTTGCTCTTCCCATTGTCCACACCACACGCCGCCGCACCATTCTCCTCCTCCGCTACCTTATTCTTCTGTCTCTCCTCCTGCTGCTGCTCGTAGACGCGCAGGGCCTCCTCTATTGCGACCGAGCAGTCCGCATCCTGCTTTCCTGCCTCCAGCAGCGCCGCGTCAGACACTGGGTTAAACCGCAAGATCTCCTCCGCGTTGTTGCTGTTGGCGAAGGCCACACTCGACGATACCGACGGCAGACATAGCACGCAGGTATCGTAGCCGGTGGGAACCGCCATCTCAAGCGCGGCGGGGTCGAGAACCATCCCAGGCCACCACGGGTACCCCGGCTGCTTCAGCCAGACGAGTGTGTTGAGTGCCAGTGTGGAGGTCATTGCGCCAGGCGACAGCGTTGCTGGGGTGAATAAAAAGGTGTAAATGGCCACAAGCACAAGTAGACTTCGAGCTGGTCTAGAGTGTGCTGCCCACCTGCGAGCTCAAAAATCGGGTGCCTCCTCTTGATGCACGGATGCTTCGGCCTCTGTCTGTGCTGCTGTGGGTACCAGGCCGGCAGAAGGCAAAAACCAATGATGGAGTTATTCGAGGAAATGTATGGATCTCGCGTGTGCACGTGTCTCTCTCTTTCTCTCTCTTCTTATTCTTCCCTGCCCGCCGCTTGTGGCACAGCCAGCACGGGGCCAAAGAGGCGAGAGGGGCGCTCCTACTGGCGGTGCCACACAACCCCGAATGACAACAACAGCAACAACAACCAAAGAACACGAGCAGCACCAGCAACAACAAATGAGAGGAGGGAGGGAGAGAATATAACAGCCGCCACGGAACCAGCGAGCGGGGAAGAAAGATGAGGACATCACAGAACACCAACAGCCATAGTAGCATATACCCACGCATTACTCCTCGAAATGTGCAAAGAATGCGTGTATGTGTGTGAGTGTGTTAAAGAAATGAAATGAGAATACTTCCGCCGTAAGCCGCTCTCTTCTCTTCTCGTCTCGTCTCCCTCTCTCTCTCTCACACACACTTGTGAAACACCTCCACGCATCATTCCTTCCTCCACCAGGTGGATCCAACATTGAGTGGACAGACGTCTTCGAGGGAATTCGTATTCGCCCCTCCTTCTCTCTCCTCTCTCTCTCGTTATTCTCGGCCACGCACACACACCCACACACAGAACATCTCCCTGTTGTCCTCGGCACTCACTCCGTGGTCCACGCGTACTTACACTCCAGACATGTCAGGAATTTCGTGGTGGGCTCATCCGCAGATCGTGTCTGCTGCTCGTAGAAGGAGCATCGGCTCTTTCCACAGTTGGGACATTTGAAGAGACTCGTCACGGCGACGTTTGCCAGCTTCACCTTGTCCTGCTCCTCGATCATGCGAGTGATGCGTGCCTCCTCCATACGCTTCTCTTCCTCCGTCATGAGTGCAGAGCGCGGGAGGTTTAGGAAATCCTTCCCACTTAGCGCGCGTGTGGCGAGGTCGCGGCGAAGCTGCACCATGCCCGGCTTCTCTATCTGCTCCTGAAGGTACTTGCGGTCCTCCGGTTCCACCACGTCACGGCAGAGCTCCTCCGCCACCGCGTCGAGGTCGTTGGATGTGACATTCGCGATAGGCGGGTCAGTCGGGTTGTCGAGCAGTTTCCGCACGCGATGGACGAAGCGTGCACGCACGCGCTCACCGGTCTCTGTCGTGGGCGGCACTGCTGCTACCGCTGCTGCCTCCGCAGTGGCGGTGACAAAAGATGGCGCACCGGCACCAACGGGGCTCATCATCGCCTCCTCCATGACAGTGTTGTTACTGGCGTCATCCTGACGCCTGCCAAGGCGGAACTGCTGGTGCCGCTTGATGGCCTCTACCGTCTCCGGCGGCATGATGCGTGCCCATGCGGAGATGATGGCACGCGCCAGCGGCCACAGCTTCCGCAGCTCCTGCCGCCCGAGGATGCTTCCGATGGCAACGCCAATCTTCGTGTCCTCCAGCTGCCGCACAGTGACGCTCACTGTGTCGAGGTCGCACAGCTCGATACGCAGTGACGGGAGGTCGGCTGCCTCCACCGCTGCATGAATGCGCTCCGCGAGGGCGATTAGTTTATCGTCCGACAGCAGCTCCAGCGCATGAGCGTCGCCCTGCCGCCCGTCGGAGTCCACCTCGCGGCTGCGCTTACTGACGGGGCGGTGGGGTGCCGCTGCACTGCCGCTGCCGCTGCCGCCGCCA